TCTCTCTCTCTCTCTCTCTCTCTCTCTCTCTCCTGGTTCCTTGTTATGAGCTGCTTTCCTCCTCCACATCCTTCTGCCAGGAGGGTTCTGCTTCATCTTGGGCACAGAGCAAAGGAGCTACCTGTCTACAACCTGAAACTTTTAAGCACCAAATACACTTTTCCTCCTCTAAAATTGTTCTTGTTAGGTCTCTTGGTCATAGTGAAGAAGCTAACTAAAACAATGCCCTACATCCTCGTTCCCATCCTGCCATGACACTTTACCATAATGACTGCCAATAAGGGGCTTTCTTTCTCAACTGCCTAGGGAAACAAAACTCCTAACCAATCTTCTGCCTTTCTCTATTCCTTTCTTTCATTCATCTTACACACRTTTACCCAGTTCATACTTTTAAAATGTTTCTTTGTGCTAAAGCAATGTTACCTTAGTTACTCTGATGCTGAWAACTCTATAGTAACTCTCCAACATGAAACAAAAAACTTCCATAATCTAAGCTTGCCTCTTGGACTTTTTATATACAGCTTCCACTCCACCAGAGCAACCTACACACTGAATCAGCCTTGAACTTTAACCCTCCCGAGTGTTGGCTCTTCCATTTCCTCTGCCTGTAATGACTTAGCTTGTGGTTTCTACCAGGCTGACTTATATAATAAGGTCAAGTTCAGATTTGAAACTTCAGATGTTCTTGGCCCACTTTATCCTTATGATATCTCCTCTTCTAAAGTCCTGTGCCATCTATTCACTTGGGTGGTGCTTTTTGCTGCTTGACTTCAGCACATAGATACTCTCCCCCCAGCTCAATGACAAGTGCCTTAGGAGCAAGGGCCAGCCATCTTTTATCATTTGTATGTTCGAATCACCTAGAGCTCTGCTTTTTCAATAATCCCTTAAAAGTTGACACTCAAAAATACTTTTAAAACATCTTAAACCTCAAGCATTGTGCTTTCTAAGCATTCTGGAAAACATGTATAGAAGTATAACATTCTATATTTTCATTTTTTTATGTAAGTAGTTAAAGAATAAAATCCAAGCCATGCCAGTAATATCTGAGTTAACCACTATGGAAACTGCAAAAATAAGTTTAACTATTATTCAACTTCTTATTTCTGAAAATGTCCTTTTCTCATTGAGTGTGTTTAGATAGAGCATTTAAAAAGTTTGTCCAAAACACACAATCATGTCTTGCCTCTAGCAGAAATAATGTGTGTTCTTGCTTCCCTTTGTAAATAATTGAATTTGCCTCTGAAGTTCAAGAAGTTCAAGATTTCTTTTTGTGTATGAAACTGGCTGCTCTGTTTTCTTTTTATATGCAGCAGACTATAATATAAGGCAGAAGAAATGCTGTACAATTGGGATTTGGTGAGTAGGGAGGATAATAGAAAAGATTGACATGACTTCCATAGAAGAGTTATTTTTAAGTATAGAGAATGCCTGTCCCATGCTGAAAGGGCCCTTAGGAGGTTTTGCCAGGATTAAAAAGCAGTGGGGGCGCTTCCCTTCACCTGGGGTAGCAGGGCTGGTCTGCAGGGCGTTGCTGCCACCTGCTGCATGTGAACGGCTATGGAGGGGCCGCCACATGGGTCTTGCAGCTGTAAAATGCCAGTCAATTAAGATTCTGTGGACATCTGAAATAGTTCTTCTTTCAGAGGCTAGGTGGATCCCAAAGGAAAATTAGCCAAATCTGATGTATTCAGGCTAGAAAAATTTCTAGACATAACAACCAGAATCAAGAGATTGAAAACAGTTAGGGAGAGCAGATTTGCTCAGTAGCTTCTGAAAGAGTACGTCCAGTAACCCTACATTAATGAGAGGCCAGGATTCTATTAAAAGTGAGTCTGTAGCTATGGAAAATAAATGACAATTTCCTTTTCATGAGTATTTAAAAAAAAATTTTTTTGTAGTCTTTTTTTCTTTTAAAGAGGTGCTTCACTGTAATGCAATAAGAGATAGAAAACTTTTAAATATTGCAAAAGGTGTCCTGAGAGAATTCATTAAATTTAGATTTTTATTGGGTTCCTAGTTAGGTAAATTCCTGCTTACTGTTGCAAATTGAGTGAGGTAGCAGAATCCCTTCTCCAGGCCTTCACGTGTTCTAATCTAATAGAAATACCAATTTAAAGATTAGGATCTTCTAGTGCACCTCCTGGCCTGTTTTTGCTGCTATGTTCACTTTGAGTTCCTGTTTTTTTTTTTTTTTCCCAGAGGAAAAAAAGGAAGAGATAATGGCACCCAGAGGAGTTATGTTTTTTCCTTGCTCTTCATTCAAAGACTCTGAACTCTCTAACCCTCCTTGGAAAAAATCACTGTGACCACAGCCTAACCCAATATCCCCATTGATCAGAATCTTGTAGGAAGATGRGAGGTATTGAGAACACAGGTTAGGGTATCCCTAAAAATGATAGGAAATAAATAATTCTCGTGGTTTTTGTGGGTAACATTAGCTGAGTAGTAATGAGTAGGACATTTCTTGGGGCAAGTTTTGGCAGTGGCAGCATCGACAGCTGGGATATCCAAAAAAGATTGTCGCCATTGATTTTTGACATGCAAATTCTCTTCTCCTACCTAAAGTCTAACGTCTGATGATCAGGGTGATTCTTCATGTCAGCATCATCCATATTCCCCGAAAGCCTTTGTGAGAGATTATATATACACGGTGGTGACAGCCTGGCCAAAACTATGTCCATTGGACCTCTATTTGAGGAACATAATAAGCCATCTAATCTGTTTTCAGTTTTGTTAGGTGGTGCCTATATTCCAGTAATGAGATTGGGGTCACCAAACATTGCACCAATCATATGTCTAGACAGAGATGCATAATTTGTTTATTATTTTTCTCTGTTCATTAAACTTACACTGTCCATGTCAGCCCACTCCATGGGCTTAATGTTGGAAAGTGAAGACAGTCAATTTGATCCCAAGATATTAAACAAATTCAACCATATCTGGCAAGGACTAGCCTTCATTTTCTTTCATGAATAAGCAAAGAATTTTACCAAGGGGTCACTTCCTTGCAACCCACTGGGATCCTTTGTAAATGGAAGTAATTGGGGGGATGGAACAGGCCTGGTAGCTGGTTGAAGCTATAGAGTCTCTGCCTATGGATTCTGATTATAACACTGTTGCTCTGTGTAGCTTCTAGTTTAGGCACAGAAAAGCTCTTCTGCCATCAACAATAAAGGCTTCCAGCCATAGTGRTTAGCTTCCCTATGGCACCTGCAGCATGTTCCAGAAAAGGGGTGGACAAGGAGGCCTCACTTCTCCCCTCCCAGGAAATGCGGATTTCCCTGCCAGAAGAGGAAAAGTAAAATTTTTATAGCTGACACAAAACCCTGTTAGTTTTCAGATTTTRTTAAAATTAAACATGTTAATTCTAGAAAGAAAATATACCTATTCTAGAAAGAAAATATACCTTAAGATGAAGCAGAAAACCTTTCATGAAAGACACCAAGCTCACATTTTTTTTTTAAATGGCTTTGTGTTCTTGAAAAGAAATGTATAAAAAGAGCATTGGGAATTGCTCTGCATGGTTTCCTTTGTTTGGATTTTAGAAACAGCTTGACTGACAGGGATCCTAAAGGAGACAATCTTTTGGATATGAAAAGTCTTCTGAAGAAGGTGATTTCAGGGAACAATTTCAGCATTGTTCTGTTGAAGGTTAAACCTGGCCCTGAACCGCACTACTTTCCTGTCTACGTTTCATTTCCTGGAGTTTTGCCAAGTGATAAACAGACTCAGGCCTGTGGTAGATTTGGGGTTTGTGAGCACGAACAGGGTGGCTGGAGTGTGCTTTGTTAAAGACATCAATTGATTCTGTGATCGTTAAGGAAATGCTGGTGTAAGCTCTTCAGGAGACAATGGAGAAGAAATGGACATACTGYGCTGTCTACTCCATCATCCAGATACAGTTTGTCAGGGGTAARACTTCTGCTTGTCCTTTCTTGTCAGATCGGCTGCTTTAGGGGCTTCTGTTCATTTAAAATGCCTTGTGACTGTTGCTGAAATTGATCATCAAAGGGCAAATTGTTACTGAAGTTTTGAGTTATGTATTTAAGTGACAGTTATCAGGGAGATGCAGAGTCTAGAAAGRACTCCATGAAAACTGAAAACATGAAGGGAACGGGTGGTTTGTGGTGCCAGGGCTGTGGCACAATTTCTCCCATTTCCCTCTTAAGAGGATTGCTGGAGTAATTGGGAAATTGTGCTTCTTGGAAACGAAATGCTCTCTAAATGATAGAACAATGCCAGAAAGCTAAAAAAGAAAAGAAGAGACAAGTCATGAACTGATCCATGCTCAGAGACCTTTGCTCAATTACTTTTTAATCTCTCAAGTACCTCTTTTCTTTTAGGTCTAAGACTAAGGTCTTTGGAGTTGGACATGGACACATGTTGAATTTTACTGAGTCATAGATATGGCCCTAGGAGGCAAAGCAGAGTCCTTAGGACAGTGACAGCCAGAAACTAACAAGTCAATTCAAAAGTGGAGGAAAGGAAGATTGGTTTTACATTCCACAGTGTGAGGGTATTATAGTTACTCTGAGTGTCTTACAAATTAACTGTGCTTTTTAGGTATAGCTATGAATATTTTAAGAGTTTCTAAATCAAAGGATGCTTTGKAATATAATGCTGCAGATTGGATGGAGGCATACTCCTATTAAATGYTATTCATAAGGAGTTACATTGAACAGTACTAATCTCTGTCTACCCAAATTTTTGTATCCACAAAAATGTAGTAATTCCTGTTTGCCAGTTATCTTTGAGAGTCTTGTTTCTTCTCATCTGCTTGTCGTCGTTTTATCATTTCCCTTTGTGAGCTTCAGTGGGACTTGTCATAATAATATATTATTTCTGTGACAATATACCAAGCTAATTTTAAAACTGAGGCGAACATTTCTGAACGTTTTTGATTTGAAGACAAGTCAAATCAAAGACCCAATATTAATACATTTTAAGTACCCTGTACCATTTGGTCAGGTTACTGATGGGAGAGAAAATCTTCTTTCATGACTAGCATTTCAGGGAATTGATTAGACATTATGCTGTGTGGAATCTGAGGMGTAGCTTCTCCCCATCTCTCTTCAGGAGACCTAACTACGTGAAGATGAAGGTTTTTTTTCCATCCTCATATATGGAAAATCAAATTTCTTAGCCTACCCAGTCAGACTGAATTTGGGAGGCAGTTTGGGGGTTATGAAGGTTATAAGAAGACTAACCGAATTCATGTTCTTTTTCTAGTGTGTGTGGCTTTGAGAAAACCACTTAATCTCTCAGTGCTTCCATTTCCTCCTCAAAAAGGGGTTAATCATATCACCCTTATAATGTGAAAGCATTAAATGTCTGTTGTAGATGCATATTTTTAAATGCTCTACATAYATTAGTTATTTTTGCAGTTTTGTAGAGCTTCGCTACTGTGTTATATGTGACTATAACCACAAAAGGTCAATTTTACTAAATGTAAGAATATGTGTACACTAAATTTGCTGATGCACTTTAGTTTTTAGATAGGCTTAATTTTATCAACAAGTCATCAGAGAACGTAAATTTGTTTTGGGACAAACTAACAAAGAAATAGTCATAAACCAATAGTTTCTTAAGTAAATGACTCTTAATTCGCATTGAGTTCTGTGCTTCTCTCTCTGTGGATGTTTTCTGTCTCTAAGACAGTATTATGGTTTAGATATGAGATGTCCMCTAWAAAGCTGGCGATGYAGAAATGTTCAGAGGTGAAATGATTAGATTATGAGAGCTGTAAGATAATCAGTGGATTCACCCATTTGATGAATTAATAATTTGAATGTTATTACTGAGTGGTGACATGGCATGGCTTGAGGGGGTAGGTCTGTGGGGGTGTGCCCTTGGGAATTATATTTTGTCCCTAGCTTCTCTCTCCCTCTCTGCTTTCTGGCTGCCATGAKCTTTCCTTCACCATGTGCTTCTGCCACAACGTTTGGCTTCACYTAGAGCCCAGAGCAATGGAGTCAGCTGACCATAGACGGATGCTCTGAAACCATGAGCCAAAATAAACTTTAACTCTTCTAGGTTATTCTTGTCCAGAATTTTGATCACATTGATGAAAAACTAACACACACAGTTAGCCAGGGAGAAAATTCCTGAATTATTGCCCAASCTTACTGAAGTTGCTGGGGTTTTAATTAAGAGTCACTCCATGTGAATCATGCAAACTGATGGCTCATGTCTTCTTTTCAGGAGTATGGGGAAAAGGACTTAATGCAGGAGAAGATGTTTATGCTGTTCCTGGCTCTGATGTCAACATGACTTGCCAAAAACAGCTGAAAAGCTTGTTGGTACAGACGCAGTGGTCAAAGGTCACCGATMAGATGAACCTCATTGCCCTTCGTCATTCCGAATATGGCATCCACTGTGCCCATKGGCATTCCTGCAAGTCAGCAGTGGATTTCAGACAAATTCCAGAGAACATAACGATATGGACTCTGCTCTTAAGAAACGTATCTTCCTCACTCAGTGGAAAGTATGAGTGTAGCTTTACTCTCTTTCCAGAAGGCATTTGGACTAAAACCTATAACCTTCTCATTCAGACACCTGGTAAGTGTAACWGGTAGAGGGAAGGAAGCTTATGCTTATATTCAGCTCGTGTTCATTCAACAAACAGGCATTGGCTTGAGGGGGTGGGTTTCTGGGGGTGTGCCCTTGGGAATTATATTTTGTCCACATGCTAGGCATAGTGCTGAGTGTGCAAAAGTTGAGCAGAAAGAGGTACTGGCTGGCAAGGAAGACAGAAATGGATCAAATAATTCCATAAATGAAGGTAAAATTGCAACAGCGATGTGTTAATAATAAGAGCTGCAACAGTTCTTYGGAAGAGTCTGTGATAGAGGCCAGGGAATTTGCCCCTGAGCTGAAGTCTGAAGAAGGAGTAGGCATTAACAGTTTAAGAAGGGCAAGAGTTATGAGTGATCCTGAGAAAGGAAACAGCTGTGTGAAGGGCTTTGTGTTGTTGGAGGACATGGAACAATGCCAGAGAKACTACAGTGCAGAGATTAATGGATGAGGCTGGAGATAATGTAAAGACCAGATCATGTTGGACTTTGTTAGCCATGTTCAAGGTTTTGTTCATGGAAGTACATTGAAGTATTAATGAAAGGGTGGTATGAATTTATGGCTTGATTGTATTTGTATTATCAAAAGATGATGCTAGCTTCGGTATGAGAATGATATRAAAGGGGACAAAAGTGAAAAAATGGGAACAAGTTAGGAGACCGTCCTAGTCTCAGATAGTGGTGGTTTGGTAGATATAAATAAAATTACACATTTTATGTATTKGGCATAGAACAGATATGACTAGGTCATAGAGTGGATAAAAGACAAAGGCAACATGAGTGGCATGCATACCCACACGGTGGGGCCAGTCACTGGGATGGAAGACAAAGGAAGTAGACTCAGTTTAGAAGAGAATTTGTAAAAATGACTTTYGATATATTTACTATCGGGCAGGCATAGGGCCTAAGGATGCTACTGGACCTAAAGCATTCATTCACATCGTACATGCTTCAGGGGTCTGCATTTGGAAATGGAACTCCTAGGTTTAAGTTCTACCTCCTTTCTGGCTAGTAATGAATTTGACTGAGGGTCTGTCATGTAGATTCTCTGAGCCTATTTGGAAAATTATGATAACACCTGCCCTAAATTACCTAGTCCTAAAGTAAATGATTTCCATTTCTACTAATGGAAAAGAATGAAAATAAAAGCCAACAAATGGAAAATGTACTGGAAATGTAAGGCTTTAAACTCGGGAATAAAATAACCTGGTAATATAAGAAAAAAAATCTATAAAATTAACTCATGAAGACCATGCTGAAGGAGGCATGGGGCTTTCCAGGACAAGTAACTTTTAAGSCTCTATAGTCTCCTCTCCATCCCTTGTCTCTTAGCTGCTCCAAGACCATGATATTGAAAGAGATCACCTGTAGGCCAGGCTTCCACCAACTACTGCTTTACAATGCCTTGTTCTCTTGCTGTTTTCTGAGAGAAAAAACAAAGCAAAACCTCAGGTTAATTAGTACCCAGGTAGGTGGGTGAGTGGGGTTGAAATAGAGAAAAACAGAAGACCTGTACAGAGCAACATTTATCTACACACACATTGAAGTCAGGAGACTATATGTGAACACTGGCTGTGTCACTTACTATTCAGATCATCATTGCCAAGTTATTTCATGTCTCTCAGTTTTTTGTTTTCTTACATCACAAGTACAGGCAATCATAGTTCCTCATTCATGGGTACCATTATTTTAAGATTAAGTAAAATAATCTATGAAAAGCTCTTATCACAGTTGCTGCCTAGAAGTGAGAGTTTGGTAAATGGTAGATTTTATTAAGAGAAATAATAATTCTGAGTGAAATTTCTTTCTTAATTCTAATTAGAATGGAGCCTTCTCTTTTTATACTGGTCTACTTGGATTCCAACAGGACATTCATCACACATTAGCAAGAATACACATTGACCTTGGCTTCGGACTTGGACTGTGCACATTTTGCCTATCCCAGTAGACTATACTACTTCATATCTGAGTTCCTGATCTGAATTCCTTTGAGAAATAGCAACAAGGATAGGTATACTCTATATAAAATAGGATATGGGATGACCTAAATGAAAATAGCATTGGGGAAAAGGCAGTATCCAGAAAGGAGGGTGGTATTACCTTTAAGGAAAGCATAGTTTTAAAAATAAAGGGCAACCCAGGGAGTTAAACTTAGAGCTACTAAAGATTGTAAGTCATTGGAGAGTCAGAGCCATATCTACAAACTCTGTGATTGGAAAATTTCCAATCTTATTATAGCTTTGCTGTTGATCCACTGGATTAAATGAAAAGCAGTGTTCTCAGTGTTACAGAAATGGTTCTGGTATGGTGTATTTGAGTACCAAAAATTCAGAATAGAAACTATAAGGGGGAAAAAAAAAGCTTTCACCATAGAGCGACAAGCTTTATATGGAACTATCCTTAAAAAGGCACCTAACACAGGAGGCAGCCGCCACATGAGAGCCCCACTGAGTCACCACCCATTAGCCATCATCCTCCCCCTTTATTCTTTTATGTTCTCTTGCTTCTTCTCCTGTCACTWGTACCATTTTCTTCCCATTATCCTCTGAGATATGCATGTCTATAAGCTAGTTGGGAAAGCAGAGTGCTCATGAAGTGCGAACTCTTTTTGAAGTGCATAAACAAATGCAAATTGAAGTGGTGTAGAAGAATCTAAATATGAAAATGTTGAGGTACCAGAGGTGATTGGATTAATTGCCTCTTCTTGTTTCCCTCCTCTCTTCATCTGAGTCATCCTTCCTTGTCTGCTCACAAAGCAGTGTGCACCTACATCCAGTTCTCATGTCCTCTGAGGGGTTAGCTGGGAAGGGATTCCCTTCTCTTTTCACAATATTTTTTCCCTATGTGTGTCTCAGTTGGCTGAGACTGCAAATGGGTATGGAAATAAACAGTGTGGCCTTTGGCTCTTTTTCATTTTCATTTGACAGGGTTTCTTCCTAGGTTAGAAGTTTTGAATTATTCCAAGAAACACAGTACTCCGAGTTAAGTCGTGGATTGTTGTAATCCCTATTTCCTGTATTTGAATGCTATTGGATCCTAGAGTACTACAGAATGTAAGATTTTGATGCTTTTGTGTTTTGGGTGTGAAATGTCYCACAGAATTTCATGTGTGGAAATCATATTCCCAATGCAGCAAAATCCAGACATGGGGCTTTTAGGCAATGATGGATCACGAGACTCTGACCTCACCAGTGGATTAATCCAGTTGATGGATTAAGCAATTGATAGCTGGATGGACTACTAGGCAGTTGGATCTAGTTGGAGGAAATAGGTTACTGGGGGTGAACTCTTAAAGGATTTTTCTTCATCCAGCACCTTCCCCTTTCCCCTCCCTTCCTCCCTCCTCCTCTCTGCCTTCATAGTCCTCTGGTCATAGGCGTCTTCTTCATCTCCTCTTTCTCCCCTTCCTCTTCCTCCCCCTCCTC